CTGCAGCCTGGGCAACAGAGGGAGCCTCCATCTCAAAGAAAAATTATTAAAATTAATTTCACCTGTTTCTTTTTACATTTTAAAATTTGGCTATATAAAAATTTTTAATCATGCATATGGCTCAGGTTTGTGGCTTGCTTCTATTTCGATGGAACAGTGCTTCACTAAAGTAATCCTTTCCATACCAAATCCATAGAAAGGGCCCTCTCTGATTGCTCACCACTCCCCGACTCCACTGGGTGAGCCCAACCATCATCCCTTCAGCTGAACCTGGAACTGCCCCCTAACACCCAAGTGTCCTCAGCATCCTGCTCCTACTCCTGTCCTCTTGCTGGACTGCAAGCTCCAGGACACGAGGACTGGATTTTGTCTTATTCACTTTCATATCCCAGCTACACACGAGCTTTCATCTATTTGCTTGAATGAATGAATGAGCTTAACATGAATGTTTCTCTTCCAGACTCATGACCTCAAACAAATTTCAGAAAGTTTGTTATTTGCTATGATCAAGATAATGAGAGGACACTCAATAAATTATAGAAAGGTTCATGTGGCTTTTACCTGGTTCTTATATCTTTTTCATATACATAGGAAAGGTGGTTTTCTTAGAAGATACATGATGTTTTAATTAGAAAAGAAGTATGTTGGAATCATGGACTGAGATGCTTAATTAAAGCAAAGGACACAAATTAAAACAGTATAGGAGAGGAGAAAGGAAGTTTGAGGGAGAGAATTGCTAAAAGCCCCCTTTTGTAAAGGGGTCTAATCCTGGGGCTGTTTGTGACCAAGCAACATTTTTTGCTTTTATTGCATTTGTGGTTTTAACAATACTCAGGTGTCTTTGTTTCACTTCATAGATTAGGCTGTACTTTTTGGCTTCAACATTGAAAGTATTTGTCCTCTTAAAAATATCTGTGGGCCAGGTGTGGTGGCTCACACCTGTAGTCCCAGCATTTTGGGAGGTTGAGGTGGTCAGATTGCTTGAACCCAGGAGTGTGTGATCAGCCTGGGCAACATGGTGAAACCCTGTCTCTGTGACAAACAAAGATTAGCTGGGCATGGTGAGGCGGGTCTGTAGTCCTAGCCACTCAGGAGGCTGAGGTGGAAGGATCACTTGAGCACAGGAGGTGAAGGCTGCAGTGAGTAGAGATTGTGCCACTGCACTCCACCCTGAGAGACCTATCTCAAACAAACAAACAAAAAAGCTAGATTTTAAAAAGTAGTACAAGATATTTTTGAGAAAATGGTACTTTTAGGAGAAACTACGGCATGGGAAAAGGAATGACAAACCATAACGAAGCAAAGGTCTCCTTCACCAACACCCTCACACACTGACACCTGCTCCATTCATACACACACACACACACATTCACAGCCTCCTCACATACACCCATCCTCCCACACCTTCCACACACACACATCCTTACACTCACATCCATTCACACCCACACTTCCCCACTCCCACCCCCAACCCGGGGGCTGTGCCTGTCAACATAGAGTTGTTCTCCTCTAATGTCAACATCCTTCAAAAGTGAAAGGTCGTCTCACATTTCCCCATATGTAAAAGAAACGTGCTCTCACTTTGTTCACAGGCAAATGGGGTTTTACTTAGGGCTTCCTTTGATGCCAAGACATGAAATTCTCTTCCTTGCAGTGGTGGGTGTTTCTTACATTTGGTTTCCCAGAGTTGCTCAAATTAAAAAAAAACCACAAAACCCACCACACATGTCCTTGCTCCCTTTCTGCAGTGAGATATGACTTGGGCCCTATCACAAAGCGATCTGGCTGCAGAGCTTTCCTGCTAGCCTAACATTTAGTCCCTTGTACACGGGCACTCCCTTGACTTCCCAAGCCGGCATGAGGAATCCCTGTTAGAGGCTGGGATGAGAGCGGACTCAAATCACCTGAAATCCCCTCATTGGAAATCACCTCTTAACACTTGAGTTTCTGTATTTTAAAATGTGGAGTGAGACTACATGCCAGTTAAATCCTTTGGCTCTAGAGGTCTATAACTGTGTGCTTCTGTGGTCCAAAGCACAACTGCTCATTAATTCTGGTTAGTGTTTCCATTCCCCTATCTCCAGTTGAGTGGCCTGTTTGGGGCCACTGAAGAAGCCCAGGTTTTACAGAAAGGACTGAATCCTGTGACAGTTTAGGACTGGATCCAACTTTCGTTGGGGAGCCTCTGAGACTAGAGAGTCACTGAAGGTTTTGAGGTTCACTTGTGATGACCACCATCTGACATCAAGTTGTAGAAGCTTCTAGCGCTTACCTTTTTGCTCTTTCCCTTCCTTTCCCCTTCTGCTCCCTTCCTTTCTTTCTTTCTTGATAGAGTCTTGCTCTGTTGCCCAGGCAGTGGTGCCATCTCAGCTCACTGCAACCTCTGCCCCTAAGTTCAAGGGATTCTCCTACCTTTAGCCTTTCAAGTATCTGAGATTAGCTGGGCATCACCATGGGATGGGGTTTCACCATGTTGGCCAGGATGGTCTCGAACTCCTGGCCTTAAGTGATCTGCCCACCTTGACCTCCCAAAGTACTGGGATTACAGGTGTGAGCCACTGCACCTGGTCTTTTTGGTTTCTTATCTTTTTGGTTTCTTAGGTTTGGAAGCCAGTTCCAACCCTAAGCATTCTTCTTGGGCCCACAATCCTGGCTACATAGAAGGAAATATTTTCTAAACAATAAGAGATGTTCAACCATGGCATGGGCAGACTACAAAGTGAGATTCTCCCTGTCCCAGAATGTCCCCACTGAGACATCTGTCTGTCCTGGCAGGAGTAGGAGCCATGTTTATAATGAAAGGAAGGCTGAACTAGAAGAGCCTTGAAGTCCCTCCAAATTCCAAGACCTCATTTTAGAACTTAAGCTTTGTGAAGCTAGAAATAAAATCAGGGCAGCAGAGAAGAAATCGCATACTCACATTTACCAAGCATCACTTGTGGCTAGCAAATACTTATTTTGACTTCACTCTGATGCTGGTTTCAGAGAACCAAGATGACATCTGCTATAAACTCGCTTTGTTACAGTGAGAATCATGCAGGCATGGAGCTTTCACCATTAGGATAAGCATGCATCATGCAGCACTGCTGATTTTTACACTGGTGGCCCTTGTGATTTGTACATTTGTGTCGTCTCATTTGCTGATCCCCACAATGGTTTCGTCAGCTTTGCAGATACCAGTATCATTACCCTCATTCTACTGAGAGAAACCCTTGAGTTGAGGGGCGTGGCATAGATTAGCACGTAGCATATCTTTCCAGATCCCTGTTGAGGACACTTTTGGAGGAGACATCTTTACACGAGAGGAGGAATTTTGATTTTAACTAGCCACTTGCTAATGAAAAGGAAATAATTGAGCTAGGTTTTTCTATAATATTCACAAATTATGGCTGTTCTAAATGTCCTATTTTGAGAATTGTCTTGCTATTAAAAGTAGATTTATTTTAAAATAAACTTTGAGCTGCAGTGTTAGTTTCAAAGTGGAGAGCTTGATTATGGTTCACCAAGCTATTTATAGTAGTCCTCTCTTATACCAGACATTTTATGTGTGTGAGAGAGAGACAGGGAGAAAAAGAAGAAAAAAATAACTCATTTTTTTAAAACTGAAGAAGACTGCAGTAATCAAAATCCATCATGCGAACCTCATCAGAGGACTTTACAATTGCTGTTCCTACTCTTCTGGTTTTGTGCTCATTCAGATTCTTAATTCCAAAACTTACTTTCTATCCTTAACTGAAGAGGTGTAGTGAAGAGGATGTGAGTTTTGAGAAATAAAGAGGAGGGCAGTCAACCTGGAAACCTCCTATGAGCATTGCCAATCAGTAGCTGAGTTCAAATCGCACAGCCTTTTCTTTCAACAAAGATGAGTCACGATGCAGCAGTTCTGGATAAGGTTTCAGTCTCAGGTCTGTGCTTAGTAGCTGGGTGACTTTGGGCAAGAACTTCCTTTCTTTGATACTCGTTTTTTTCATTCATTCATTTGTTTTCTCATTTACTGATAAGTGGGAATAACAGTACTTACCTCAGGGGGTTTTTGTGAAGATTAAATAAAATGGCAATGCCAGCTTTCAGTGCTTTGTGAAACTTGCACATTCTATAACGTCAGGCTTCACTGTCTTCTGGAAGGTTGTTTAATTTACTACTGTTTTACTACCATTCCTGAGAAAGGGCTGCTTTCTACTCCTGTTTATATTATTTTCTCTTTTTATTTTTTGAAACAGAATCTCACTCTGTCACCGAGGCTCAAGGGCAGTGGCACCATCTCAGCTCACTGCAACCCCTGCCTTCTGGGTTCAAGTGATTCTCCTGCCTCAGCCTCCCCAGTAGGTGGGATTACAGGTACCCACCCCGCCCGGCTGATTTTTGTATTTTTAGTGGAGATGGGGTTTCACCATGTTGGCCAGGCTGGTCTCTAACTCCTGACCTCAAATGATTCACCTGCCTCAGCCTCCCAAAGTGTTGGGATTACAGACGTGAGCCACCGCACCTGGCCTCTTTGTATTATTTTCTACCACTATTAGTATTCCTACAGTAGGGTAGCTTCCTTTCCTCTTTCTCCTTATTCAATGACTTAAAACTATTATTAAATATCCCCATCCACAGCTTTCTCATCTTTTATTTCCCAAAGAGTGAATGAGTAAGATGACGTGGTCACTGCTGGGTATATTTATGTAGGAGAGATGGGAGTGGGCAGAGAAGGGACAAGAGTCAGAAGAGATGATGCAGCTGGGGCCAGAAGGTGGAAATGCTGAGGATGGAAAGAGACCTTGATCTTATAGCAAGTGGGATTGAAACGTTGTGACTGTGTGGAGGAAGGAACTCAGCTCTCATCCTTATCCACCAAGGGCACATGAAACTGTGTGCTGTGTCACGAATATGTCTGAGAAAATGGGCTCTAGCAGTCACTGAAGCCTCCTATCAAGCCACTGTGCAAACAGGTATTTTTCTGCCTTGAAACTAATATTAATCCCTTGAGTTTTAAGTTGACACTGAGAACTTACCTTCCAGAGAAGAGAAATCTGTTGTCTACTATAGTCCAAGTGCCGTTTCACGTACCAGACATCTAACATCCCAGTAGGCTCTGTTTCAAAGGAGAAAAAAAGACATTTTTACATATTTACTCAGTAGAAAAGCTTTAAACGTTTTTAAATGATTCTGAAAGAGTAGCATTAGAGGACAATTTCAATTTTTGTCTGTGTGTTCCAGTATTTTTTCTTTTTCTTGTTTAACAATGAACATATATATCTTTGGCCAAAAAGTCAAAAAAAAACAAGGTTACCTTAAAAACAAATTTCTAAAAAACTGATGAGGAATTTGTTTCTTAATTTACTTTTTTGGGGTGACAGGATTTCACTCTTTGCTCAGGCTGGAGTGCAGTGGCATAATCTCGGCTCACTGCAACCTCTGCCTCCCAGGCTCAAGCAATCCTCCTGCCTCAGCCTCCTGCGTAGCTGGGACTACAGGTGTGTGCCACCATGCCTGGCTAATTTCTGTATTTTTTGTACAGACAGGGTTTTATCATGTTGCCAAGGCTGGTCTCGAACTCTTGAGCACAAGTGATCCACACACCTTTGCCTCCCAAGGCTTAAGCCACTGCCCCTGAACTTAACTTACTCTTAAAACATGTATTATTAAAGTGACCCAAGGAAAGTGGCTTTAGCACCATAAGACAGAGCAATAAATAAGTAAATAAAGTATATGTGGTTCTTTTTTTTAACTAAAATGCAGAAAGAATTCTCAACAGAGAAAGATACAACTCATATAGAAAAACACTTTTTGGTCTTCAAAAAATACACTAATACATATGACAAACCTTGTGTTCATCTCCATTCCTGGACTTATCATGTTGTAGTTATAATTATTTCATGTGCGATCATTAGACTATGATCTACTTAAAGGGAAGGCCTATTTCATTTAATAGGCCACACACCCAGTGCGGTGCTTAGAATATAATGGGCTCCTAATAATTGTTTAATAGTGAATGCATATCAGGTGATATTATCTATTTCATGCCAAAACCCGGGTTGAACTGATAATAAATAACCACCAATCTATAAGACAATGGTCAAATATGGCCCAGCTTAATTTCAACCAAACATACTTGCAAAGAGACTAAATAATCAACTCCTGTGTGTGAGCATGTGTGTGTGCATATGCTCATGTGAGTGGGTGATGTAATTTTATCTACTCTCAAGTCACTTAGATTTGTTTTGATTTACAGCCAGGAGTGGCCCCAATAGAAACAACTCCTGAAAACAGGCTTCAGCTGTGCCAAGCTAATTTCCTCAATAGTGAAACTTAGAGTGTATTTGAGGTGAGGCTGCACTGGGTTATTTTTTGGATAAGAAAGTTCTGTCTAGGCCAGGTGAGGTGGTTCCCGCCTGTAATCCCAATACTTTGGGAGGCCGAGGTGGGCGGATCAAGAGGTCAAGAGATGGAGGCCATCCTGGCCTAATGGTGAAACCCCGTCTCTACTAAAAATGCAAAAATTAGCTGGGTGTGTGGCACGTGCCTGTAGTCCCAGCTACTCAGGAGGCTGAGGCAGGAAAATCACTTGAACCTGGGAGGCGGAGGCTGCAGTAAGCGAGATTGCACCACCGCACTCCAGCCTGGTGAGACGAGACTCCATCTCAGAAAAAAAAAGAAATTTCCATCTAACCAGATAGAAATTTCTAAAAAGTTAAGTCCCACCACCTGAATAATAGGAGATAAGAGCAAAAGAGAAAGAAAGGGAGCAGGTGCTGTGTGGGCCCATCCACAGCTCCGACTCCTGCCCTCCTCAAACCCAGGATGCCACTTCAGTGCAGTAGTCAGTGTGAGCTTCAGAGCCAGGTCTGCGGGGTAAACCCAGCTCTATGACTTTGAACAAATGCTAACCACGTCCTTCTGCTAGTCCCTCATCTGTCAGATGAGGGTGAGAATTCCACACATCACATGGGCGGAGTGGGAATTTAAGGGGAGCGTGCTGACACCCGGTGAGTGCTCAGCACATGTAGCTCTTGTTGTTGCCCGCATTTGAAAACTGAAGTGCTGAAAGGTTAAGGAACTTGCTAAGGTCCCAGAACTCATCATCAGAGATGCCAGGCCTTGAACACAAATCAGTTTTATCCCAGAGCCCATAGCCTTGGCTCTGTACCTTTCAGGTGCCTGGCTCTGAGAAGGCTGATGGTTTCTCTGCAGTACTTCCATCCCCATCAGGTGGGCCTTTTTGTTCTGTCCTCTTCCTTCCTCACTTCCTTTTCCTGCCTCTCTTGCTCTCCTTTCTTTTTTGCTTTTTCTAAACATTCACTTCTTTTATTTCCTCTCTTTTTCCAGTAGTGGTAGTGTTTACCTTTGCAGTGAGGACTTAGAGGTAAGAAATGCTTATGTAAAACATTTTGAAAATGCTCTAAATTCTCCAGGAGTATTAAAAGTGGCCCAGGAGTCAAGCCGGGGACTTCTATCTGCTAGCTTAGATGTAAAAAGAAAAAAAGCACAGGCAACAAAGGAAAGAGGATGTGACATTCACTAACCACCTACTATCAGGTGGTGTCTGGACGCTTTATATCCATCATCTCATTTAACCCTCATACAACACGAGGGTGCTATGATTACATCTGCCTTATAAGGGAGGACAAGGAGGCTGGCAAAGGTTAAATGAGTTACAAAAGACTTGGGTTTGGTAAATGGCAAAGCTGAGGACTGAGCCAGGTCTTGCTCTCTCCAAAGACTCTGCTTTTCCTATTACAGTTCACTACATTGACCAGAGCTCTGAATACTCCATAAACTAGATAATCCAGACATCTGCACAGTCAGGGTTTGGAAACCTGGGTGTGCTCAGTGTCAAAGCCAGCTGACTTGAACCACAGCAGTACATGTTTTCAGTTAATTACATATTGGTAAGAAATCTAAAGGGAACACTCATTGACTCATTAAAAATCCACAACCTAACAGATCATTACAGAGTTAAGAATGAAATTCTAGAATTATACTCTTTTCACAAGGTAAATTGCAAGTAAACTGAAATGTTAATTGTGCCCTCTATGGGGCATATATTAACCCCATAGAGCAGCGTATACTCTATGGGGGAGACACCATTAGTTGAATCTGCAAAGTGTAACATTTCATGACCAGAGGTGTCAAATCACTGCTGCTTAAAGCAACATAAGGGCTAATAGTGAGGAGAATCTTTGACATTCAGCTGTCACGGAATCACTGAAAGTTCTAACCTCAATGTTATCTGGCAAAATACAGATAAAACTATTATAGGCATGTGAGAGAAAAAAAAAAAGCCAAAGGCCAATATGTTCAAGTGATTTAAAAAAAAATGAGTACAAATGACTAAACATACAAATATGAGAAATGGAAGTCAGATGAAACTACTTTGTCTGTAAAGAAAAAAACTGCAGGGTTGAAGTGGAAGAAGTCACCAATATGAAAAAGAGACAACCTTGCCTCAGATTGCACTGAGCAAAAGGAAGAAATCAGATGGAAATTCCTGCTTCTTTCTATTATAAAAACGTTCAAACTACCCTAACCAATTCCCTAACATAGCACTGCCACTGATGTCCCAGTGGATGAACCATCTTCCATCATGGTCCAGCTCTTTAGAGTTCTGGGTGCACTCCCTCTCGCTTTATCAAAGATCCATCACAAGCCATCATCCCCACCTTTCCTGTGCTTCCCTGCTGGACCCTTTTCATCCCTTTGCAAAGACACTATTATCTCAGATCCTAAAAACAAAAACAACAAAAGATTGTTTGATATCTCTGCTCTTCTTGAGATAACTCCTTGAAAAGAGTTCTCAATCATTCCTTTCTTCCAAGATAGGTGTTGAGCTTAGAGGAGAACAAATGAAGGAGAGAAGGAAGTGGGGACTGTTACTGAATCTCAAACATAACATTTACTTGTTAGTGAAAGTGTTTGATATAAGTCTCTTTAGAAGAGAAAAGAATCATTCATTTTCAAGCCTTAAGCAAAATGACACAGATATGATGCTTTCACGTATAGCTAACTTAGGGATCAGCAAACTATGGCCCATGGGTCATATCTGGCCCTCTGCCTGTTTTAATACATCCTGTAAGCAAATGGTCTGATAATGGTTGAAAAGAAATCAAAAGATCCTTTTTAGTGACATGTGAAGATTACATAAAATTCCAGTTTCAGCATCCATAAATAAAGTTTCGTTAGCACATAGCTATGCCTATTTGTTTAGGTATTGTCAATGGCTGCTTGTGTATGACAACAGCACATTTTAGTAGTTGTAGCAGATCATGTGATCTGCAAAGCTGAAAATATTTACTGTCTGGACCTGTAGGGAAAAGGTTTGCCGATCCCCCAAGCTAGACTGTTATGAGATGTTTGTGGTCATTTAAAAAGGCTGCCAAAAAGGAGCTCTACTACAGAATCATTCAGTTTTAAAGAGTACCTTAAAAAAAACCAACTCACTAGTAATTTTTTTAAATGCCAAAATAACCTTTAATATTTCATTGTTCCCACCTGTCTTATCTCGGCAATAAATATTTTTAAATTACAAATGAGTGCATGAATTTCCTAGCTTCTCAATGTGGGAAGAGGTGGCTGCAGCTGGTAACTCTTCATTTTCTCTCCACTTCAGGGAACCTTCACCCCTCACCTCTGCCTTTGCCACGATGGGGGAGGGTTTCTCCCTTACTACTCTGCTCCAAGTATGAATGAACATGCAACACTTCTTTTATTAGCTGTATTAGCGTTGAGCAAGATCAAAAACTGCAAATAAGACTTTTTAAAATGCGGAATGAACAGAGACACATATTGGTAAGAGAGTGCTAAGGAACAGCTGATTCATGGGTATTTTTGTATCTCTTCTTGGTGTTTTAAGTGGTGAGAGATCACCTTCCCTTAATACCTGTGCATATTCTCAAGCATGTCTGGGCACCTTAAGCCCAAATTCAAGGATGTTTTCCCACTAGAAGAAAAATGTGGCTGCTCTCTTCCCAGTGTCACTTTCAGGCCTGCCTTTGATGGATTTGATTTCAAGACTGTCCTCTTAAACACAGCAACGTAGCTTCTTTCCTCCTACCCCTCATTTTGCAGTCATTTAAAAAGTGTTTTTCAGTGATAGGAGCTGAATTTAATGACATAGGAAAGGGCCCTGTGGAGTAAAGGAAGCCCTCGCCCACTGTTCAAATGATATAAACAACTGCACCCGATCCATCCAGAGATGTATGTTCCTCTCAAGTTTGAGAAGTAAAGGCTGCAAAAAAAAGAGCTCTATTATAGAATCATTCACAGTTTTAAAGAGTGCCTAAAAAAAAAAAAAAGCTCACTAGTAATTTTTTAAATGCCAAGCTACATATGAGTATATATTGAAAGAGTTAAAGGAAGACATGCTAAAAAAAATTCACACCTTTTAGGTTTACATCAGTTGGTGTTTCATAAAGAAACTGATGACAGAAATAGCGGGTAAGGGGTGAAAACCAAGCAGCTTAGAGTAAGAGAAAAAAAGACCTATGACAGCCCACAGAAAAATCAAATATAGAAAAGGGAGATTCAGACATAGAAAGGAAGCCAGCAGAGCTTGGTAAAGGCGGTGTGTCTCAGAGTATGGGTTTCTTTCCTTATGAATACCTGCAATGACTGAATAAGCCAGCTTCCTAGGTTCAAGTCATAATTATCCATGCGTTCATAACCATAATGAGTTGCATCATTGTTGTGATGGTTTATTTTATAGGAAATGAGAAAGTTACTGTGCTGCCTTGAAGGATATTTAATTCAACAGAAAAACACTTTAAGGAAAAGAAAAGAAAAACATTTTCACACATCTCTAACTAGGTCATTATCATATGTGAGTGAGAACGACAAGAATTCATAAGCACAGCATTTCCCTAGTTTATAGTTTACCTTAATGTGATATAACTTAAATATTTCCCAGCCTACTTACTATGTTGAACTTGGATATAAAATATAGTCCATTTTCAGAAATTTTATCTGTATCACATATATAAACGAAATATAATTCATGAGATAGTCTTTAAAAAATTACTTTGACTATGTATAATAAAAGGACATGATGAGTAAGCTCTGGATTATAAAAGTGACAACCAGAGAACAAGTCGTTCAACATTAATTTAAGAGATTTTATTATAAAACAAGCGGTAATAAATTATCATTTGTTGAATAAATTCACTTTTAGATAATGTTTTAATATAAAGAAATGCAGTTCTGTAATTCCAGCACTTTGTGAGACTGAGATAGGTGGATCACCTGAGGTCAGGAGTTTGAGACCTCCTGACCATAAATTTTTATGCCAAAAATTTTTCCTCTGAGCCAAATTTATATAACTTATGAAAAGCTCTCAACTGTATTACTAAATGAGTGCTTTTAAAAACTAATATTCAGATGGCTATTTCTTGTGTCTCCAAAGATTTAATATTGGCATAAAGTTTATATAGGCATTTTTGCTTCAATAAAATATTTTCTTATACTTCAGTAACATTCCTTTCTGAATAATTACCAAAAAAGAAAAATTCATCAGACTGAAAAATACATTTGATATCCTTTTCGTAGCTTTGGATGGTCAGGTGGTTCTCATCTGAGCAGTGAATAGCAAACGCTTGAAGTATGATGTCATAATATTTGGAGAAGAGAGGATTGCTGGATGCTAAATTTTCTTTTGAAATATATGTCTCCAGAGCCTACTTTCTTTCTCATCTGGCTTACTGAGCCACATTACTTTTCAAAGAATCAAAAATAAAAAAAATATGAAGCTTTAACTACAAAGAAATGAGATCAATTACTGGTTATAACTCTGTGAAATAAGTTACTGAGATAGTAAGAGAGATAAGAGTCATAACCAACCACTGTAACCCACATCGCTGAGAGCAAACAGGAGAAGAACTTACCCAATGTTAAAAATGTCCTAGCAATACTTAAGTTAATATAAAAATTAACTTGTTACCTAATGCAATCATACTTTTTGATTGAGCACCAGTATTTTAAAGATTCTATTCCGAGGAAATCATTACATCTTCCCGCTCTCTTCCTCAATTCCTCCCTGCTATGTATGTGTATTTTGGACACATACCTTCTTCTGGCGTTTGTGCTCTCAATGATTCACTCCAATCACTCCAACTTCCCTTAAAAAGATGCAGTTTAGAGGAAATCTGAAATTCATATTCTGTAAATGGTTTCAGATCCAGCAAATCATGTCTTCCTTTGGCCTTTGTAACATTAACCTTGAAAGAGACATTTTTTTAAGTGCCTATCAGTACTAGATTGCTAATTTAAATAATTTTAACATAAAATGAAAAAAAAAAAACCCAGGCCATTTGATCCTATTTGTTTTTCAGACCTACCATTCAATGAGAAGAAATTTCAATGACTGTCTTACTAAGTAGATATGATATTAATCTGAAATAATAGCTTCTCATTAAAAGTAAAATAAAATCTCCTGGGAAAGAACCCATCTATGAAGGTTCTCAGCAGGGATCCTGAAACCAGCTGAAAAACAAGTAAAAAATAGAAAACTATCAAGTTTCAAAATGCCTTGGAGAGGTTTCTACACTAGAGATTATTTTTGTATTTGATTACAATTAGAATGTGATGAATGTTTTAACACAAACATAGAACTGGCTTTTTAAAAAAAACCCTTTAATTAGTTACACTCTCTTAAATATAGACTATATGTAGACCTGATCCTTTGTTATTATAAGCCATTGAATTTTATAAAAATCCTGGAAAGAATCATAATCCTATACCTTTTATTTTAAAACATGTAATGTTTAATATTATATTAACATATAGGCCTTTCCTTTGGAATATTAAATTCTATATAAATCTCTGTGGACATTCCTTAATATTTCTCTTTTCAATATCTTTTGAAAATGCTAACAAGTAATAACAGGACAGGGGGTAAATAATAAGGAGAAATGAATCCTCTACTAGAAATAAACTACAGAAAATTAATATTGGTTTACAAATGCTTTAAAAATTTCAGAATCAGAGATCAAAATTCAAGATATTTCTTTTTTTTTTTTTGAGACTGTTGCCCAGTCTGGAGTGCTGTGGCATGATCTCGGCTCACTGCAACCTCTGCCTCCCAGGAGTCTCCTGCCTCAGCCTCCTGAGTAGCTGGGACTACAGACATGCATCACCATGCCCAGCTAATTTTTTTTTTTTTAGCAGAGATTAGGTTTCACCATGTTGGCCAGATAGTCTTGCTATTTTGACCTCACGATCCATCTGCCTCAGTCTCCCAAAGTGCTGGGATTACAGGCGCCCAGCCCAAGATATTTCTTAATCAATAGAGGATGTACATAACTTTCTGATAGTTCTCAAGTGTGTACTTTTGGGATAAATATTCTTAAACTCCATATTTTGCTGTATGAAAACACAGAGGCCTGCGCAGCAATATTAAGAACCCCACAATGTTCTTAACTTCACTCTAAAGATCATTACCATATTCCAGAGCCTGCTGTTATTGGGTCGATATCTGAGTCGATTAAGCAGTACCAGTCCCTCATCTCTCCAATAAAGGGTACATCTGCTCACAGAAGCCTTTTGAAAGCTGATTCTGATGTCCCACGGAGGAAGAGGCCTCACTAGTAACCAGGACAAACAAACAAGTGTAGTTCAGGATCTGTGATCAGCAGTTGTCTGGCATGAGCTCTAAAGAGTTTGGTAAAACTCAGTTCTGAGATGTACAACCATCAGCTTGGTAAAATATACAAGGGAGTTTGTATATTTTGTATATTTCACCAAATATACAAAACTGAAAAAATTTTTTAAAAAGTTGGATTCACTTCTGGGTCTTTAAAGTAATCCCCCCAATCAAATATCATTCTTACCACATCACTACTACCAATGTTAGTGGTAAATTCAACTCCACTTAATCCAGTGGTTTTTAAAAAACCACTGTGCCAAACCCAAGAGTTCCAATGACTGAGAAGCCAGAGGTGGCTAGTGATGATTGCCTCAGGAGGAGAAGAAATGTTGGCAGGAAAATACACAGCAAAGGGACAGAGGAAAATAATAGTGGGGCAAGGAGGTGGCCTAGAGATGAACAGTCTTTGAAAAAACTGAGAGGAAGCCTGAAAGGAAATGTGGTGGAAAAGTGTGTAGTAAATACCAATGATCAGACTCATGGTATGTATGCAAAGAAGTATGCAAGGAAGTGCTGTAGGAAAAGAGGAGAGAAGCACACAGTGTGAGGTCGGAACTTCAGGCAGCCCAGTTCTACCTGGATGATCAGAACTTGGAATGCTTTAGACTGGGCTCTGATTCAACTGGACCAATTACATTTGCGCAGAAATGTACTGGGACTGGCATTTCTCAGTCCCAGGGATGGAGGTAAGTATTCTCAGAGCAAGATGCATTTGTGACTTAACACAATTTATAGTTTGCACCTCAATGCTCTAGCCTAGTAGGCCCACAGATAGCCTATCTCACAATGGGAGTAGCCATGGGGGTGAAAGGACACGTCCTCCAAGAAGGGCTTGCACTGAGCATCTTGAATGACCTCACAGGACCCTCCCTAGTCAGATCATTACTAGCTGGTTCTTTCATAGGATTTGAATCCAGGGACTAATTTCTCTGATAGAGAGAATAATGTTGAACATCCCACTTTGTATAGCCATCTTTACACAGCTCTAGAATCATGCACGCTTTAGCTTGTGTCAAAGTAACTTCTATCTTTTGCCTATACCTGTTGGCCAGTTTCCATCAATCTCTTTCTTGAAACAACCATATAAAAAAGACTTGAGTGATTTTAAAAATAATTATGAAGTACCAATGAATGACACTTACAAAACGTGAAATAAAATGTACCTATGTCTAGGAATGTGAATGTGGATGGAAATGAAGAGGAGCTTCCAAGACTATTGACAGCAGTGACCTTGGCTGTGAAACTGGACTCAGGTGATTCAGGGGTGAGGTTGATTCCAAAGTCCAAATAGTCACAATAATGATCTTTACATTGCTTCTGCCAGGTTAAATTTTTTGGTCCACTTAACCTGTAAACAAAACACAAACATGGGTAGCAAGATGTTTTATGTACTACTTTCTACTTTTAGTACAAAAGAACAAAATGTTTAAATATTTAGAATTCTAGACAATTTTTAAAGGTCAATCTATGACTAGGGAATACACCCCAGGAATATTTGTGTTATATGGTCATAAATAAGACTACACTTCACCCAACTCCCTTTTTTGGTAGAACTGAGATGTTTCTTCATATTCGGGTAGATAGATAGGTAACCAAGCCTATGCTGCTGAAATTCCCCAAACCTTGCTGTCATCTTGGCTCCCTGCGGCAGTTCCAAACATCATCCTAAGGACCATGGCCACCTTAACATCTATGGCACAGAAGTGTCAGTTCCTAGTACAACAGTGGCCAAAGTAGAATCCTGGGCTATTTTACCCTAATACTGAGACTTGCATGTAGGTAGTTATTTCCTTTAGGTTAAAACAACACAAATGTACTACAGAACCCCTCCTTTCCTCCATCTCCTCCTCACTCAAGAATAGCACAAATCAGCTGGATCTTTAATGGGATCATGAAATTTACTTCAAGGAACAGAATCTCCCAGACTCTTTCTTCTCATGGACTCTTAGGCCAGCCAATGTGCTTTAAAAAGAAACTTCTCCAAGGGAATGGAAAACTACCACAAGGAAGAGTTTATTTATGTATCATGACCCCAAGAATCTGCAGTTGCAAATAAAAGAAGAGATCTTATGCAGTCAGTTTAACCCTACTAGAGTGGGAAAGAACAGCTATAACTTGGGTCTTGGATGCCCTGAAGAGAACTCAGAGTTAGAACTAAAACCCAAGATATTAGGTCTCTCATACTGTAGATGAATGAACCAGTTTTAACTATAAACACTAGAAACTTTTTTTTAAAAGTATTTAATTATCTAGAGATATCTATTGTTTCTTCTTTCTGGTAAAAATAAAACAGATAGGCCAGGCATGGTGGTTCACCTCTATAATCCCAGCATTTTGGGAGGCAGAGAAGGGCAGATCATGAGGTCTAGAGATCAAGACCACCCTGGCCTACATGGTGAAACCCTGTCTCTACTAAAAATACAAAAGTTAGCTGGGTGTGGTGACTCATGCCTGTAGTCCCAGCTACTCAGGAGGCTGAGGCAGAATTGCTTGAATCTGGGAGGCAGAGGTTGCAGTGAGCTGAGAATGTGCCACTGCACTCCAGCCTGGTGACATAGCAAAACTCCATCTCAAAATAAATAAATAAAACAGATATTTCTAAATATCATTTAAGAGACGATCTACAAAACAGCTGCAAAAATACAGCCTCTCACTCACTGTAGAGTATACTCAGTGTATAGGTGGGTGTCTCGTCCTCTATCCCAGGTGCAGGCCACAGTCCCTTGTTCTCCCTTCTGTATGCAGGACAAGTTTTGAGGCTGTTCTGGAGCAACTTTAAAAAGAAAAGACAAAACTTTATATATCACACAGGTGATACTTCAACCAAATTGTTATTATCTGCCAACAACATGACAATACCTCCCCCACATGCCATAAACCCAGGTAAACAAGAAGCTTTTTAGATTCCATCCAAGTCCCAGTTTGCCATTAAGGCATAAATTTCTTCTAGAAACAGTAATAATAGTAGTAAATATGGATCAAATACTTACTATACACCTAGCCCAGTGCTATGTGCAGTTTTTCCAAATTAGACAGCATAGAACCCCATGAGGTAGATACCATTATTATCTTTATTTTTTCAGAGGGGAAACTAAGAGAGGTGAAATATCTGGCCCAAGATTATAAAATAATGAAGCGGCAGAATCAAGGCTCCAGCTCAGGCATGGCTAACTCAAGTCCAAGCCTTTTACTCCATATTTTACCATTTTCCCTGACAGGTGAGCATCGATGTTAGCTCCATTATCGATGTTAGCTCCATTACCCCTGGGAATAATAAATTAACTTTTTTTTAGAGTGATGCCCATTCAAATATTAGAAACCATTAAAAATGAGAGACTTGGTTGGGTTTGGTGGCTCAAGCCCATAATCCCAGCACTTTGGGAGGCCGAGGTGGGTGGATCACCTGATGTCAGGAGTTCAAGACCAGCTTGGACAACATGGTGAAACCCTGTCTCTACTCAAAATATAAAACTTAGTTGGGCACGGTGGTGGGTGCCTGTAATTCTGGCTACTAGGGAGGCTGAGGCAGGAGAATTGCTTGAACCAAGGAGGCAGGAGGTTGCAGTGAGCTGAGATCGTGCCACTGCACTCCAGCCTGGGCGACAGAGTAAGACCTTGTCTCAAAAAAAAAAAGACAGACTTATTTGCTTTCTTCACCTGACATTTGCTGTCAAGACACTTATATCCACCCACCCTAATCATGTCCTCCTGGGCTATACCATCTAAATCTAATTTCTTCAATAAAATAGAAAATAAAAAAATTAGCCAGACATGGTGGTGCATGTCTATAATTTCAGCTACTCAGGAGGCTGAGGGCGGCGGATCAGGGAGTTTAGGAATTGGAGACCAGTCTGGCCAACATGATGAAACCCCATCTCTACTAAAAATACAAAAATTAGCTGGGCATGGTGGTGCATGCCTGTGATCCCAGCTACTTGGGAGGCTGAGGCAGAAGAATTGCTTGAGGCCAGGAGGCAGAAGTTGCAGTGAGCTGAGACTGCACCACTGCACTCCAGCCTGGGGGTCAGTGTGAGACTCCATCTTACAAACAAAAAAGTCTCTTCCTTGTATACATATGTACCTGCATACATATATACATTTAGACATATTTATATATATATATATATTTATACAGTGTATACTTATGCATATACACAAACTACTCATGACTGAGCCAATAGAATACTATGTTAACTTTACATTTTCTATACAACTTTTAATATTAGAATTAGTAATTATCTTGCTTTTCCATTTGTTTAGTTTTCTTGTTAATACAATTTCAAACTTCCAAGTCAATTATCTGAATCACTGTTCAATATACTGCAATATATTGGGACTTCTATCCATTTCATTTGAGGACTGCTCTCCTGGAGGCTTGTGTACTTTCCGGTGTAAGACCGGTTGCCTCCATGCCTGGCAACCAGCTGTCATTCTGGGACTGCTCATCCTTGGTGTTTCCTAAGTTCTTTCTCGTTTTCCTTTGGCTCTTGTTTCTTAGATTTAATGTTTTTTTCCTTCTTGTTGAATGACTTGTGTTGGTGGGGCATAGCCTCCAGGAGTTCCCTGGGAAAGGGTGCATGGGAGGAAATATTTTGAGCATGGTTTAAAATGTCTTTATTCTACCCTCACGTTTGACTGATACTTTGACTGAGTATAGAATTCTAAGTCGAAAAGAATTTTTAGTCAGGCCTCTGTTGCCTTCCACATTCCAGGTTGCTGTTGAGAAGCCTGAAGCCATCACCTAAATCCCTCCCATGTGCCTTGCATGGGATTACGCACTTTGCATATAAGAGGGGATCTAATGACTACAACCATTTTATGAGGTAGATGTTATTATCTTTATTTTACAGACAGAGAAACTGAGGCTCAGGTAGTTTAAGTTGTCTAAGGTACACTGCTACTGGCAGAGTTGACATTCAAAACCCATGGCACTTCTGCTATACCACAGGCTGTCAATGCTGAGTACACGACTCACTGTGGTATGAACAGGAGGCCCTGAGCTGGAAGGTGAGTACTTGACCTACTTTATGCCTCCTACCAATGATCTGCTTGGCATTTGCTTGGTCTTCTGCTCCATGCTTTTGGTGGAAAATTGCCTGGCACTAGCTATACATATATATCCTTATGGGTCACAGAGAACAGGTTTCCATCTTTCCTGGACAGAGTCTCACTGGGCTCTGTATCACATCCTTTCTGATAGATACCATGTCTATGAGGCTTGGTCAGCCAGCCTGCTATAGCAATTCTTCCTAGTCTCTTCATGCCTCTTGTCTGCCACTCCAAAGATTCCCTGGAACTCCTGAGGCACAGGGTGCCATGGAATCCCTCAGGGCCCATGCTTGCCCATGGGCTTGCCTGGTAGGACGTGCAAGGCTGTGGGCTGCAGGTTGGGAACTGCAGTAGGTGTGCTGCTGGTTCATCCTGTGCACTGTGGCTCATGCTGCAGATGTCCACTCTGACACTTTAGTTCTAATCCCCCAGCAGCTGCCGGAAGGGACCAGCGATGCAAGCCAGCAGTGTGGGAAACTGATCCCCTGTCAGGTGAACTTTGACCAATGGGAGATAGTTAAATTCTTCTTTCTTTCTACTGTCATGAGATTTCTATATGCTCTTTCTGGTAATGTCCCTAAGTGTACAAACAACCAGCTGTATTTTATGTTGAAGCTGTGGCCAACTCAGTCATGTTACCACCTAATATTTGCTTTTGTCCCTTTCCTGGCTCACTCCTTCCCTCTTCCCTCCTTGGGGCTGTGTAACTCCCCTGACCCAACACCCCCTTCCCATGAATTGTTAGACAGGTCAGGTTTTTTGTTTGTTTGTTTTTTGTCATTGTTGTTGTTTTCTGCAGTCAGTTTTCTAGAGAACTGAGGAAAACACAACAAGTATGACCAATGTTTTCTTTTAACTTCTGTGCAGTGTGAGAACCAGTGGTCTAGGTGAGCATGGATGGAAGAACTATTTTGGGAGGCATTAAGTTAGGGAGGGCGAGACGTGCTGCTCAACTCTGTGTAGTCATCCTGGGCTGCATAAGTCTAAAAAGACATCCTTTTCTTCTTTTTAAGAGGCTGTAGCTTTAAACACATTCTTGTAAGTCAAGAAGGCATAAAGACCCAACTGCAGAGATCCATTTTTTTCTGCCACTAAAGTTAAGGACAACAGATAAATGGTTTTAATGGGTGGCGGGGGAGAGAGATTTGCCAAATAAGATTTCAATTTCTGAACTTCACACATTGAAGCTCTCATGTCGCTATCAACATAAAATACTTCAATGTGGTGGGAAAGAAAGAACATGGACCTGTATCTGGGTTTCTGCTTAACACATGAAAAATACTAAAAGATTGCCAAGTTCTAAAAATTCAAAATGGAATGCTCACCCCCAACTAAGATCTCTGCTCCACATATTTGAATTTCATCACTATTGATACAGGCCAATTTGCAGACAAACAAGGTTGTACCAAGGGGAAGACCTGTGACTTGAGAATTGAGGGAGTGACCATGGTGAAAATTGATTCTTCTGTCAAACTTGTACAGGATTAACTTGTTATGTCTGGAATTGTTCAAGCAGCCTTGTCTGGGCTTCAAAGTGCATGAAATATTGACAGTGGATCCAAGTAAAATTACACGGGAAGGCTTCACAGTCACATCGCCCCTCCTGCACTCATCTGCAATAAGGTACAAATGCAATATTTAGTTTGTGATAATAAACCCATTTCAAAATGAAGAGTTTATGTAATTCCCCAAAACAGGATAAAATTAGCCCCATCGGATTATGCAAATATAAATAACCTACATGTCTTTGGTTATAATGGTGATGTGTAATGAGAACAGAAGGTAAACATACTGAAGTCTAACTGTATTTGAATGAAAATATGCATCCTTCTCATAACAGTATTACTACAATCAGAACTATAATGAGACCTATAACCAGGAAAGTGGTGAGAAAGCAGGATTGAAAGAACATTCAGGAACACAGTTCTGGGAAAAACCAGCCTCTCTTATAGGCAAATTATTTACCAGACTACTAAAGTCTTCCCAGAATAAATCACATTTGTTTCCATCACCATTTATGATGTATAATTTTTACTTAAATACTTGTACCAAGAAAAAGAAACAGTTTTAAAGGAGCATTAAAAGAGTATTACAAACATTGTGCTACTGCACTTCGCCTGGACAACAGAGCCAGATCCTGTCTCAGAAAAAAAAAAAAAAAGAAGAAGAACTTGTGGGGGTGAGAGGCAGGAAGAAAAATGTGCTGAAATGTGAAACATGTATTTGTGATGCCTAGCTGGATTACCAAGCCACTTTCTTAGGAGAAAATAAAATAATTGGACCCCTATATTAATCATTGGTGCAAATTAAATAGAACTATTAGTTACAGACAGAACCAGACTTATCCATTTAAATGACAGAGAATTGACTACAAAAGGCCAACTACCTAAACATTTACTACAAATAAATACTTCATCTGTAACTGAAAATTTAAACCACAAATTCTTCCACAGAGTAACTTACAGAAATATCTTACCTATTTTTGCTTTAATCAACAGCCACATGATTATAAAAATAAGTGCCAATGAGCAGCCTCTATGTGCCATCAACAATCAATTCTGGTATAGAACTTTGTATTCTTCCTTGCAAAAGAAGACAAATTCATTCATGTTAAATACGTTTAGAAAATACCAGAACCAAAATAGTTCAGAAGAGCTTCAAGTGTCACCTTATTTTTCTCCACTTTGTTGAAATTTTGTTTCTTATTTTAAAAAATGATATATACCTTTAAAACTAGTAAATCCAATATCTTAGCCACCTTCCAACCCCCATCTCAGTGAAACTTCTTGGGGTCAGCAAAGGATTAGAGAAGGAACTGGAAGTCTTAGTCCATTTGGGCTGTTATAACAAAATACGCATAAACTGGGTAGATTATAAACATCAGAAAATTATTTTTCACAGTTCTGGAGGCTGGCAAGTCCAAGATCAAGAGGTCAGCAGATGTGGTGTCTGGTGAGGGCCCACTTCATAGACCGTTCATAGATGGGGCCTTCTTGCTGTGACCTCATGTGGTGGAAGGGACAACAGAGCTCTCACGGGCACTAGTCCCATTCGTGAAAATTCTACCTTCATGACCCAATCACCTCCCAAAGACCCCACTTCCTAATATCATCGCCTTGAGAGTTAGGATTTTAACATATGAATTTGGGAGGGGAGGCATAAACATTCAGACCATAGCAATGGGCTTTGGGGTCCTTTAGAACTGGGTTTAAATGCTTGAGACTATCTGCAAGTTACTTAACCTGTCTGAACCTTAGTCCCACACAACACTTTTTCTTTTACTTTTTCTTCCAAACAAGTCTTCATCATCATATCAGACAGAGTAGTTTGACTAATTAGAGTTTCTGATCCAGTCATGTGATTCTGGAAATATATATTGAAAAATGGTTCATAACCCATCTGGAACTTAGTAGTAAAAGATTGATCTCTTTGGCAGTAAAAAAGGAATTCCAAGGGTTGTTTGCATTTTCTAGAGAAGCTCATTTACTTATTTGTTTTTTAATTAGTTATTTTTTTTACACGGTGATTTTTATCTTGAATATGTCAGAAAACATAAGCTGGCAATATCTGATTTGTTTCTAATTCAAACCTAAGAAATGGCTCCATTGGTCAGTAACAAATTTTTTAATTTCTATTACAGATAGGCCAAAAATTCATAAAGTAGGCTGGGAAGTTCTGTGATGTCAGGCCACTAAAAGGTAGCCAATGCAAAGCACAAGTTTACCTCTTAACCCCATACCTAGACATATGCAGAAGATATTGAAGAGCTTCGGACAATGTCACTTATGTGTTCAATATGGATGGCTGCCTTTCATGTGCTAGGCACACTAAGTGCTGGAGACACAGCAGTCTTGTCCCTGTGGGGTTCTAGGAAAGTACCCTTTGATTCCTCTATCTCTAGCCTAGTCATCATTCAGGAAAACCCTAAATAATATTAGCCTAAGTCTTTGCTGGCTGCTCTTTCTTTTCCTCTTGATTTTTAACTCTTGGAGGACCTTAACACACTCAAGGTTTCTTTTTTCTATTTCTACTTTCTCCTGAGGGATCTCACCTGGTCCCCTGGCTCTAGATGTCATCTGCAAGCTAAAGATTTCAGACACAGATCTTCAACTCACACATGCCCCTGAGCTCCAGTCTCATCCATCTGTCTCCTTGGCATCACCTCTTGAATGTCTAACAGGCTTCTCAATATTAAGGTGTTCAGTTTGAATTCTTAGCACCCCTTATCCAAACTGGTTCTTCTTCAGCCTTTTCTATCCCAGTGAATGACATTCTTACCCCTAAGTTGTTAAAAACATCTAGAAGTAATCTTTGACTCCAACCTCTTTCTCATCTTCTACAGCAAAACCATCTCTAGTCCTGTGAACTTTACCCCCAAAACATGTTACAGATCAATGCACTTCTCTCCATTCCAACTGTCTCCTCACCCTTGTTCAAACCACTATCATCTCTCCCCTAGTCTACACTAGTCCCCAACATGTCCTTCCAATCCAGCCTTGCCCTTTCTAAGCCATTTTCACATAGCCGACTCCCTTTTAAAAACATGAATCAGATCTTGTAACCTGCTGCACACCACCACTGTTTGAAACCCTTCAACAGGTACCTACTGCAGTTAGTAAAATATCCACAGCCCATACCACACACAATCTCTCAGCCACTGCATGGCCTCACTTCTTCCCATCTTGTCATCATCACTTTATATTTTTGCCTGGCTCATTCTGCTCCATTCACACTGGCCTTCACTGTTCCTTGAACAATGCAGTCATGATCTTTGCTGCCCAGGGGACTTTGCGTTTTCGATGTCCTCTGCTAGAATCATTTTCCCCTGTTTCTTCATGTGGCTGATGTATCCTTTAGATTGCAGCTCATGTGTTACTTGCCCAGAGAGCGCCTCCGTGACTGCTGTCTCTATCCTTCCCACACCCTCCCTGACCAATGTGGTCTTCCCCAGTTGATTTTTACTCATCACCTTATTATTGTCTTTATGGCACAATCTGTAACTACCTTATTTCTTTACTTAATTACTTGTTTGTCATCTGTCTTTTATACTAGCATATAAACCCCATAAAAGCAGGAACATTGACTATCTTGCTCACCACTGAATATCAGCAATGAACACTGGGAAACACTGAGTATTCAATAAATGTCTATTGAAAGAAAGATGCGAAGGAGGGAAAGGAATATGATCTTTAGAAAATTCCCTACAAATATCCCTGTGGTAGGCAGGAAAGTGGCCCAACAAAGATGTCCATGCTCTAATCCCCAGAATCTGTGAACATATTCAAATGGCAAAAACACTTTGGAGATGTGATTAAAGTTAAGGACCTTGAGATGGGAAGATTATTCTGGATTAACCAAGTGGCCCCAGTGTAATCACAGGAGTCCTTAAAAGTGTAAAAGAAAGGCAAGAAAGTGGGTCAGAGAGATACGATGTACTAAGGACTCAACTCTGCTGCTGCTGGCTTTGAAGTGGCTCCTGGAGGAGCCAGGAGCCAATGAATATGACAGCCTCTAAAAGGTGGGGATGGATCTCAGTTCACAGATACATGAAATGTATTTCTTGTGAGTTGTTGTTAAAACGTTTGAGAAGCACAGATTTAACCCAAAATCTGTAGGTCTCCCTGCCTCTAAACCAAAAAAGTCTAAGATCATGGAGTACAATGGCCTCTGTGAGCTAATTTCTGTCTGTCACCAGCCACATCTGCCACCATTCTCTGCTGACACCACTCTCTAGTGACACTGAGCTGCTTATACCCCTGCCCGTTCCATGCTGAGTCATGCCTCTGTGTCTTTCCTTCATGCTATTCTCTTTACTTTCCCACTATTCTTACACTGGGTGAGTCTTACTCATCCATCTAAGCTCAATTCAGACACCTTTCATTCAGTTATTCATTCAGTAAATATGTGTTAAGCAGCTGCTAGTGCCGAGGCCTTGGGATACAATAGAGAACAAGACAAGGGATTTTAGCTCTCATGGAAACAACATCCTGGAGTATGGAGGCAGAAAACAAAATATAAGCAACAAACTGGTGAGTTCTGGTGATAATAAAAGAAGGATATAAAAGAGGAGAGATCCTAGGGAGGATAGAAGCTGGTCAACGAAGGCATTTGTAGGAAGCGAAACGTGGGCTAAGATTGGTGCTGGCCAACTGAAGATGTGGGAACACTTTTTCCTGACAGAGGAATGGTGAATGCACAGCCTAGTGGCAGAGGACTGAGCTTGCCAAGGGAGAGGTACAGAAATAAGGGCAGGGTGGCTGGAGAAAGTGACTGCAGGGAGATGGTATGAGATGAAATTAGAGAAGGCAGGAGCCAGATGTACTATGGACTTGTTTGCCAAAAAGGGAGCCTAGATTTTACTCTTAAATATATGAGAAACCACTGGTGTTTAATTAGGAATTTTACTGATTTAATTGAGTTTTAATTGAGGGTGTAACAAGATACACGTTACATTAAAACACATACACACACACACACACACACACACACACACACACACACACTATTCTCTGGGGACTAGGGTGGATGCAGACAGGCCAGTCAGGAAACGACTCCAGAGACACAGGTGATGATGATGATGTGGACCTCAGGTGCAGTAGTGGCGATAGAAATGGTCAGATTTCAGGAAGTCTTCAGGTCAGAGTGGCCCCTCCTACCAGTATCCTCAGAGCACCCTGGCATCTTCCTGTCTTAGCACATACCGTAAAGGGAACTAATTTACTTAGATACCTGTCTGTCTCCTTCATTACCTTGCAAGCTCCTTATCTTCAGGGATGAGAAGATGAGAACAAAAGAATTCTGTACAGACTTTAGCATCCCCACATAATTTAGTCACATATTTATAGTTTACTATTCTTTGTTTAATCCAGTATTTAAGTAACTAACTATTTCTTCAGGTCTTCATTTCTTCATGTGCTTCCGTGTCCCATAATATTTGATGAGTAAATTTGTATTATTTTTTTCCTGTTAATCTAATGTCAATTTAATTTTCAGACTCAACCAAGACACTAGAAGGATGGAGGGGAGTTTTTCTACCCCTATAGTAGCTATATTAGCTGTTGTATTAAAATTTGGAATAGTCTTATGCAAGATAAAATTATGGATTGAACTGGAAGATAATTGAATGAATGGATACAAGATATCTGCAGCACCCCTCAGTAGAAATTGTCAACATGCATCACAATTTGTGAAGCTCTAACATTCTCCAAATAGTAAAAAACTCAGATGGTAATTATAAGGATTTAAAAAATGGATACATATGAAATATATTTTTATATATTATGTCCTATATATTAAATAGGTTAAAATATATGTGTATATTATATAAACATCTATATTTATATGAAATAGGTAAGATGAAAGATAAATTTGAGTTTATACAGTGGTATATCGATCCAAACACAAACTTGCTCATTTTCTCTGACTACCAGGTAAAAATAGCTTCTCCATTTATGAGAAGTTCAGAATCCCCAACGACCTTCAAGTAAATGAGGTATCTTCCAATAAAATGAAACCTCCTGTCAGCTGTAAACATCCTTCACATACCCTGTCTAGAGGGTCAATATTGAAACAACAACTCTGT